AACAAGTAATTGGATGCAGGTGGCCTGAATATCAGTAAAGTGTCTTAACCATGTAGGGTTGGGTAGTTTTGATCACTGTGGTTTTAACCACTGGGTTAAACCACTGTATTGTTCATTGAGTTTTGACTACTGGCTTTCTGGATTTTTCAGTGAACATTTTCTTAAAAGTTTGGCTTACTTAGGAAATTGTGTGTCATTGTTAAGGATCTATAAACTATATTTGAAATGTCTATCAATTAGGTCTATGCAGTACATTTTTAAAAATAAAGATTGTCAAAAGGAGATCAAGTTCTCTTTAGATCTTGGGTGCAATTAAGAAATGAATTATTCTTGTATTGAAAGAATGGCATGTACTTGAATTAATACAGAGACTTACTAACTACTAATTATCACCATACTCCACACACATTCAAATTAAACCATGGAAAAGTGAAAGGCAGTTTTTAATGAAAAGTCAAAACTGAAAATATTTTTTAAAAATCAGTTTTATTCTTGAAAGAAAAAATCCTGTTTGTGATATTCTTGAGTCATGGAATCATAGAGAGGTAGGGCTATAAGGGACCTCCAGAAGTCATCTAGTCCTGTTATCTGCCTGAGGCAAGATGATCCTTATCCAAACCATACAAATTCTTGTCTAACCTATTACTAAAACTACAAAATCAATCCTGTTACCCAACTACGAGGTATAGCACCCTAACCTAATACAGGTAAAGCAGGGGAACAACAGAAGCAAGTGCCATGCTACTGCCAGGGTTGTTAAAATATGCTGAGAGATCCAACGAAGAAGGCTATGCCCCCTGCTACAGGGGAAGGCAAAAATCCCCACAATGCACACCAGTCTGACCAGGGAGTAAAAGTCTTTCCTGATCTCAAATGTGGCTATTCATCTGACAGTGAGTGGCAGAGCAAAATCCACTAGCCAGGAAACCCTGGATTTTAATCCTAGCAGAAGCACTGGCACACCCCAGTCAAAAATCCCCAGCCATGGCTGCAGCCAACATCCAGTACCTCTGAGGAAGGCAAAAAAACCCCTCTTGATATATGGCAACAGAAAAGGGGAAAATTCCTTCCCAGCCCCACGTAGCAACCAGCAAAGCCTAAAAGCATGTAAGTACCAAACACCCGCCATTCTGCTCTGCAACCTGGGGACAGCAAACTAGACATCACATCCTCGTACTGGGCAACCAGAACTCTCCTTTCTGTAGCCCCTCCATAAACTTATCTCTTATCCTTTCATCTTGTTTTCTAACTAAGGCAAATTGTGAAGCTCTGCTTCATTTTCCTGCTGTTGAGCAGGGTTATCTCCAATAGCCACCTGCTTTAGGCTGCAGAGCTCTTCTCATCTCTCAGCAATTCATGTGGGGGCAGATGTGGGGTGGGGGAGGAGATGAAGAGATCTCTTGGGCTTCTAGCTGTTGCTCTTTACAGATAACTGCAGGCATAGCTACTCCTAGATCATTTCTGTTCATTGCTTATCCAGCATCTTCTTGAAAACCTTCAAGGATGGAGATCCCAAAACTTCCCTAGGCAGCTAATTCAATTGCCTCGCTGTTCTAACAGTCATAGGCAACTGGTGCTGCCTTAGTCAGGGGGGGCACATGTCCCACCCCAGTGACCAGTCAGCGAAGGGGGGCAGGGGGGCGGTGTCTCTTGCAGCTAATCACTGCAGCTGCTTCCAAAAGTGGCTGCAGCTGCTTCTGGGAGCACTCCACTCCCTGGCCGGTGCTTGCAGCGGGGGCACCAGTGCTCCTGCCTGCCCACCCTGCCTGTCACCTAAGTGGCAGGCGTGGCTGGTGTTACCAAATCTGCCCATTACTTTGGGGTGTGCTCATTTATTAAGGATAGTTTCTAGGGTCTTGGTGATTCTGTCAATGTGCTGCTTGTGTTACTATACGGGGCTGTATTTCTCCCTTCTGCAAGCCCTCACCCCCAGTGGAGCTATCTTGCAGGACTCAATCTCAATGGGACTGGGTTCCTCCAGTCACCAAATCAGTCATACACACAAACACACACAAATTAATGTGACACGCCTGACCTGGCTGGGCTAATCAGCATGGACAGGCTGACACCCTCATATGCCAAGAATCAGTTCATAAGAGCAACAATAAACTGCAGTCAGACACAAGCACACAGGTAAACAGAATCCCTCTGAATCCGGCTGGGTGTCCAGCTGACACCCTCATGGGCCAGCATTCAGTTCATAAGGGCACATCTGAGTCAAACTGGGTCAATCAGCCTGTACAAGCTGATCCCCTTATGTGTTTCAAACTCAGCACGTCCCAATCTTTGGCCTCTTGATGAGCAGACCCCACAATAATTTGGGCTTCACAGGGATCTTTAGCATAGGTAAAAGAAGCGTTGCTGCAGAGCACGGGAGGAAAGAGAAGCAGAGAAGGAAAAATATACCCAATTACTACCAGTTTGACTATAAAAGTTATTTATTGCTAAGCATATGAAATATATAATAGTACTAGTAGTAATAGACATGCAAAAGAAAAACAAACACCAACAATGACAATACTACCCTGGTTTCACTAAGTATTTGGGGAAACTTAGCTCAAGCTTAACTGATACAGTTCAGGTTCAGAAGTTTATGCCTAGAAAGAAGACAGAGAACGCTGGGATCTCACCTAGTCCACGGTACTCAGGCTGCAAAGCTGACAGGCACAGTCCGTAGCACAATCCTTGAAGAGAGAGACGATCTGTCTCAAGAACGACAGGGAACGTCCCAAGAACGACAGGGGATGGTGTCAGCACAGGGGTTTTCTTCTTCTCCTTCTTTCCTCCTGCTTCTACTTCTTTTCCTTCCTCTTTAAGCACACACACTTACAGATTTTTATACCCTCAGTTCAGCTGCTTCGAAGCACCCTCAGTAGTGTAAATCATTGTCTTTTCTATTGACAAGGGGTTATCTGGTTTGGACCATCTCAGGAAACTGATTGATAATCAGGAAACACTTAAGATTAGGGAGTAACCCAAATACTTGGGAGCCAGCTTGAAATTCCTATGGGTGGCAGATATACTGATGGGATATCTCATGGTTTCTTCAGGAACAATAGATAGCTTGCAGCATCAGGATTTTGGATTTTTACTTGTTGTGCACAAGCCTCAGCTTAGCATGACTTTTCCAGATCTTACTATAGTCTTTTAACAGACTTAAGACAATTATTGGGGTGCTCATAACCTTTTGTGGAGAGGACTCCCACCAGTCGTCTCGGGAAAGATATGACAACACCTGGGATTAGGGCTCCAGCAGGCTGGATGCTGTGATGAACCCTTAACCATTGTTCAAATGTTGCCCATACCCCCTCTGACTCGGTCTCTTGCCTCAGCATTCCCTAACCCGGCAACCGAGTTTTAGTCAATCAAGTTTAAATAGGCCTCCCATAGTGGGACCGGGGAATGTACGGCCCGAGATGCCTATTAAACTTAGAGCTGTGTGTGTGTGTCTGGGGGGGGAAAAGTCCTTAGCAAATCCAGATTAGAACTGGTCTGATAAATGCTGAGCTGGGTGTGTGTGAACATGGGTTGATTAACATTGGAAGCACAGATTCCCCATCATGCAGCGCTCTCCTGCTTCTCTGGTCCCAGAATTCACTGCAGTCTCTGCTTCAGGCTTTCTGTTTTCCATCTCTCATGTAAATGAGACCTAGGGCAGTTGATTCACTCTTGTCACCCTTATCTGGTGAGGGTCTTAGGTGCGTCTCTCACTGCATCTTAATCAGTTTCATTTAGGTAGAGGAGGGGAGGGAGGGGGGGTGAGTCCTTTGTGAGTCAGACAGACTGCAGCCTGTACCAGGGTTGCCCAAGAATACAGAGCTGAGACGTAACACTGGTAAGGGGGTGCATCCCCGTGCACCCCCTACACATTGCCACTGCTAACAGTGAAGAAGTTTTTCCTGGTGGCCAAACTAAACCTATTTTTCTGCAACTTCAAGCCACTGATCCACATCCTGTTCTCTGCAGCAAGAGAGAAAAAGTGGTCTCCCTCTTATGGAAGCCCTTCATATATCTGAAGACTGCTATTATGTCCCCTCTTAATTGCCTTTTCCACAAGCTGAACACGTCTACTTCTTTCAACCTCAACCTCTCCTTTTTCAACCTTGCCTTTATCATTTTTGTTGCCTGCCTCTGGACCTTCTCTAACCTCCATGTCCATTTTAAAACTGTGAAAGAGAAACAAATGGGGAAAAAACCCACTATGCTCTGTCCTTCCCTTTTCCCTTCAATATTCTGATTCAGAATATGGCTTTTTCCTGTACTTTGGCGTTAAGCATTTTATAGTACAGGTTTGTTAGTTTTCTTCAGTGCTAACCTGTTTATTAGTTAATTCTGAATGAAACAAAAATTTGAGAAAATGATTTCTACTGAAGTGGGTGCCGCTATGTATACTTGCTGGTGAGTTGCAACTGTAACAACTCAAATCCAAAGATCTAAATATTTTTAGATGTCTAAATTCAAAGATCTAAACACTTTTTTTTCAGTAAAGACCACCTTGTTGCTAGTTTTCCATGCATCCTCATAGCCTCTGAGTAAATCAGTTTAGAAAAGGACTTTAATATGCCTGGAACTGAATTATCTGGGGCAAAAGTGAGAATCAACTTGCAGTTTGAGAAGTTTCTGGAATATTTAGGAATGTTTAAATATGTTATATAAGCCTGCAGAGAGGAAGGGGCTCAGTAGACATGTGTTGGTGATCTAGGAGAAAAGAGGCTCAGCACAGGACTGGATTGGCAGAGGGAGATACAGGTTGTGACTGACATAAATTAGTACAAGATCTGCATGGGCATTTCCACTTCTTCCCATTGAAGTAGGGCCTGCATACAGTCTATCAAGTGACTGGAGTGATTCAGTTCTTTTTTTAAATGCTTTATTCCAGTATGGTTATAGCTACAGGACAGCAGAACGAGTCTGGGCTGCGATACAGTGTGTGTTAACTCCCAGCTCAGATAGAGAGATGGAGACTGTCCTGGACTAGCACTCTGTGACCATGTCCTGGGAACGGTGTTGCATTTACACCACAGGGGCCAGGCCCACCTTGTTGTTCCCCCTGTCAAAGACGGTGTAGTACTGGCGGATGAAGATATCACCAAGGATCCAGAGCTCTCCTTTGGCAGTAGTGATGTCAATACTTTGGAAGCCACTCTGGCAAGAGCCAGACATCTGCAGCATGGAAGAGAGGGACATGGTGATTACTGAGACATAAACTCCAGCGACCCCTGGAGATCCTGCTTAGGAGATGTCCCACAAGGGATCTGCACATGTGCTTTCTTAGGTTGGGATCTCGTCAGAACTCCAAATGTAAGCAGTATTTAGGTTGTCCATGGCCTGAACAGGAAACACCTCAGGGACAGTGAGGGGCTGCAGAAAGTAGTGCAAGTCAGTACTGACCTGGTGCCACAGGGATGTAAGGTATAATCCCTTTCAAATGCACTTTAAATGCTAGGTCCTCAATACTTGTACAACTTAAGTATCCCTTATTAAGAGAGAGGCAGCTGTCTCCAATGTCTTAGCCAACTTCCTGTGGGGGCTGCTTTATTCTGCCACCCTAAATCTCACTGTGGTTGTAAGTGGATACAAGCTTCCTCCTGTCTTCTTCCAGCTGCCAGAAAGTGTTACTGTGCTGAAACAACAGCTGACCCCTTTCAGCTCAAAAGAAAGCACACTTATTGTGTGTCAGTGTGACAGGAGGCTTTCCCCAGGGCCTGTCACAGTGTTGGCCCACCCACCTGTTTAGGGCAGTCCACCCTGTCTTTCCTGCCATGCCTTGATGTATCAAACAAGACAGATAGAAAAATGCAGGAGGCTGCCCATTTTATGCCCTGATGCCAAGGGCGTAATACACAGCTCCAATCTCCCTTTACTGTGTCCCATGCCTTGAAGATGGTATCCAAAAATCACTACCCACTATTATTTCCCTGGCCCCGTTGCTGGGCCCCACTTGGCCTCTGGCCCAGACTTGACTTCAGGCATCCTCAGACTTATCTTGGTCACATGCCCTCTCACAGGGGCCTCTGTTTCCACATGTGCTCTGGGTTCCCTGCCTCTCATTAGGCTCCAAGCCCCTCTCACACTGCCCCTTTCTGGGGTCACTACTCTGCCCCATCACTGGGGCTGTGGGGCCTTATGCGCCATGTGCCACAGGTGTCTGTTGACATACCTGGACCTCTCTCTCCTTCAGGCCTCTCACTAGGCCACACTCATTTAGTCCTTTGGCCTTGGGTCCTTCTGGCCCCCACGTTGTCACCCAACCCTCACTGTCAGACATTGGGCCTCAGGCCCTCCTGGCCTCCATGTTGTTGCCTGTACCTGTTGCTTTTCTGTCGGGGTGTGCTCCGCTAGCCTTTCCCCTTCACAGGGTCTTACCCACAAGGCAGCAGGGGCTAAGACTTTCCAGCACCCCATACTCGCCATTCACTAGGGAGGCATAGTTAGATGGGTGGACCAGAACCAGATGCTATTCAACACTGAGAAGTGTGAAGTGACTCCACCTGGGGAGGAAAAATCTGCAACAAACTTACAGGCTCAGTGGTGCTACACTAGCTAGCACCATGCCTAAAAGGGACCTGGTGGGGGGTCATTTAATAGATTTCATAGATTTCAAAGACATTAGGGCTGGAAGGGACCTTGGAAGATCATCAAGTCCAGCCCCCTGCCCGAAGGCCAGGAAGTCAGCTGGGGTCATAGGATCCCAGCAAGATAAGCATCCAATTTACTCTTGAAGGTGTTCAATGTAGGCGCTTGAACCACCTCTGATGTTAGGCTATTCCAGACCTTGGGGGCTCGGACAGTAAAGAAATTCTTCCTTATGTCCAGCCTGAAATGGTCTTGCTGTAGTTTATAACCGTTCAACCTCGTCATCCCTTGGGGAGGTCTGGTGAACAAATGTTCCCCCAGATACTGGTGGTCACCCCTGATAAACTTATAGGTGGCCATCAGATCACCCCTGAGCCTGCTCTTTTCCAGGCTTAAGGGTCTCATAGATCTCAGCCTGTCATCGTAAGATCTGTTTTCCTGACCTCTGATCATGCGGGTGGCTCTTCTCTGGACTCTCTCAAGCTTCTCCACATCCTTTTTGAATTGTGGGGCCCAAAACTGGATGCAGTACTCCAGCTGCGGACTCACCAAGGCCGAGTACAAGGGGAGAATGACGTCCCGGGATTTGTTTGAGAAGCATCTATGGATGCAAGCCAGCAT